AGATACGAATTTGGTAAATGCCGAGAGACGCGTTGTTTCGGAGTAGGTGTGCTGACAACAGGACATTCTCCATAGCCGGGTCTGGCTGCAAGTCAACACGCAGCAGTCTTGAATTACCGGCGCTCGGAGATGAAGGGTGGCGAGTCAGTCTGGTGAGACTAATGGGTTTTGTTTTAGGGAGGTTTAACGCAATACAGATTGAGCTCCACATAGTGGAATCACGAGAGTGTCGATTCTGAAGTTGCATGTCGTTGGACTCGGACACGTTTGTACATATGACAGAATTAAGAGTAGGACTACTCGTTATTCGCTTAGACGAACGCGAATGTGTAGCGATGGCAAGCTTACTTGGTGGCAGGGCCTCCGACGGAAGCGTTGGTCGTCGGCGAGTGTTGGACAGATCAGCAGTTGGTAACGGTGAGACGATACGTGATTCAGGACGGTTTGGAGGTTGCTGTCGTCATATGGCCAGGCCGTCGACTTTCCGCATTAGGCTCTGTAGCTGTTCTTTCAGATTAAGCAAGCGCACTTCTGAGCGGGTATTGTTGCTAGGCTGCTCGACGAATCGTAGTGACCGGGGCGACTGCGTCCGCGACTGCTTGTTACGCGGTGGGGGGCGGGTTAATAGGAGACGAGATAACAGAACCAAGCATAGGGCAAGTCGTGGAGGAAAGGTCGCTAGGAATATCGCGCTCGTAATTCGCAATCCTGGGAACGCAAACCGGGCAAATGTACCGAATTCGATGTCAGTTGCGTGGAGCGAATTGTCACTGGGAGCGCGGTCACGGTGATGACAGATCGAGCAGGTGATGGCTTTGGAACGAGGTCCTACACGCTGAGTGCAAATCGAGCAGGTGTTCAGTGGCCGCATTGGCGTATTGGGCGAGGCCGAGATGATCGGCATTGTCAAACGGATGACATAAATCTCTGCAAATAAACGTAGTTGAGTAACTGACTCAGGAGAACAGAACGCGCAGGAGGTCGCTATCCGCAGTGTCGGAGCAAAACTGCATGCTAGTCAGCAAAGAGACCGGGAAGCTTGATGGTATCCTTGTGCATCGGAGATGAAAACAGCCGCTGCCGTCTGATACAGAAAATAGACAGCAGGAGACCTGGTGTTAGCGAGACAATACGCGACGAGAGTGGACAGCCGATCCACAGCTTGTCAAAACGCTTGGAGCGTTGGGCCGAACACTTTGCTAGGCAATTTAACCAACCTGTTATCGCTTTCTTTTTCGGGCATTGAGTGCCCTTCTCCCTCGGCCATCTCCTTGGATCTGCCTCACGCGTAGAAGTCGAATGTGAGGTCAGGCTGTTGAAATTACATAAGGCCGCAGGGGCAGATGGAGTTCCCCCTACTCTCTACCAATTCGGGAAACCTGCTTTTGTAGATGATTTACACGACTTGCTAAAGAAACTTTGGAGCAGAGAATTGTCCCGACAGACTGACGCCGCTCCGTCATAGTCCAACTTTTCAAGGGAGGCTCTCGTTCGGTATGCGGCAACCATAGAGGGATCAGTCTGATTACGATTGCCTCTAAATTGCTTGCCTCTGTCGTTCTCCACAGATTGACTGGCGATCATGAAGGCCAGATCCGCGAAGAGCAAGCCGGGTTTTGTCGAAATCGAGGCAGCATTGACATCTTCACTTCGCGTCAATTTTTGGAGCACCACCATGTTTATTGGCGACCCACCGTTTGTCGTGTTTCTCGGCATCAAAGGTGCCTTCGATTCGGTGGATCGATGTGCCTTTTGGGACTGTCTGCTGAGGAAAGGTGGGCCCGATAAATATGTAAACATTATGAGAGTACTGTACGCGCATAGTTCGGGCAGAGTGAAAGTTTATGGCAAACTGTCGACACCCTTCAATATCTCCAGCGGTGTGAGACAAGGTTGTCCGCTGTCACCTTTACTCTTTAACTTCGCTATTGATGGAATCATGGAAACAACGTTCGCTGGACACGATCTAGGTGTGGAGCTGCTCCTAGTTGAACGACTTACTGACTTGGAGTATGCTGATGATATTGCCCTCATCTGGGACAGCTCTCAAACGTTCCAAGCAGCACTGCACAGATTAGCACTGGCTGTCAATCGTTTTGGGCTATGATTTGCTCCATCGAAATGCAAAGCTTCCCTTCAAGATTGGCATGGACCGCCTCCTGCGCTGACCCTTGGTGGGGATCAGCTAGAAGTCGTACAAGAGTTCAACTACCTAGGTACTTGTATCAGCGCCGTTGGAATTGAAGACGAGATCACAAACCGCATAGCAAAAGCTCGAGGCGCTTTTGTTAACTTTCGCCACCTATGGCACCAGGGCGACATCACTCTCCCTGATGGGTAGATTGTACAACCTGGCCGTACATTCGACCCTACTGTACGGCTGTGAAACATGGACTCTTAGATCAGCCGACATGAAGAGGCTAGTTACGTTCGACCACCGGGGCCTTCGCAGTTTGGCTCATATCTGTGGGAACACCGTGTGAGCAATGAGCGTGTTCGACGGTTTGTTTATGGCGCTTGAAGTAAAAGCGAACCACTCAGCACCATTATTTCGCACACGAAGCTCCGGTGGCTGAGTCACGTGTTGCACATGTCAGCACACGGAATTCCGCGACGTGCGGTGTTTACGCGCCTGGGGTACGGATGGAAGAAACGTAGGTGGCCAAGCGATAACTTGGGCAAGAGAAATGAAGATCCTTACTTCGAAGTTAGCCTCGGTTGGCGCCTCTCGGCTCCCTGGTTGTAATCCGAAGGACGATGAACACGTTTGGTTGAATACATTTGTTGACATGGCTAGGAGCCGACCTCCGTGGCATTTCTGTTGGGAGTTTCTTTGTCCCTCCCCCTCCAGTTACGATCTCAGTTAATAGGCACTATATGACATTTTGCTGCACAATAGCCGGCTGTTAGCTCTCCGGAACGATGCCCATCCGTTACTGGTGACTCAGTCGGCGTGCCACTGTTACACATTTTTATTTTCTCTGTATTGCGCCACGATAGCTGTTTTCCACCTGCAGCTACTGTGTGATGATGATGATGATGACGATGATGATGATGGTGATCTGGACAATAATCCCAAATCCCTCTCGCCAGAAGACCTTTGAAGCCCCTGATTGCCACGTGGTGAAAAGCGGTTGATCTTGATTATGCGGACGATATTGTCTTGCTGTTTAATCTCAAGGGTGGTCCCCTTATGTGGCATGCGGTTAGCGTCTTCAAACTGCAAAAATGTTGCAGGACCACCAGCCACCTCATAGCCCCTTGACCTTTGCTAGTGGGGAACTCCAGGTAGTTGATAAATTCACTTACCTTGGCAACTGCATCAGCAACTATGGGCGCATAAGCACTGAATTCAGTTCACGTATTGCAGATGCTAGGACTGCCTTCTTGAATCTGAGAGATATTTGGCGTCAGAATGGGCTTTTCCCTGGTCTGAAAGCCGTGTTTGCAGGACCACAGTGGTGACCGTCCTACTCTATTGTAGTGAAACTTAAACCCCTTCCATACGGCGACCTGTGGCGCCTTCAAGTCTGCTAATCATTGACTACGGAACGTTGCTGGTGTCAGGTGGCACCAGCTGGTCCGCAACGATGATGTGCGCAGACTAGTGCTATGCAGTGATAATCAAGCCAGTTCCTTAGAACAACAGATAACGATAAGCTGCGTTGGCTTGGGCACGTACTACGTATGCCCAGTCAGCGCTTATTGAGGAGGTCCTTGTTTTTGTTTGCCAGGTGTGTGGTGACGCAAGGCTCGAGGTGGGCAAAAGTCGACTTGGCAACAAAGCTATGAGCCGTCCGCCCGTCTCGCCTTGTGCTTGTCTCGAGACTTTACAAGACATGGCTCGCAGTCAGAACCAGTGGCGCGCCTGCTGTCGTCTCGTACTCGGACTGCCTGTTTAAACTGTGTTTGCTGCTAAATTATCTGCGAGGTAACGGCTGATTATGACGCCGGGCAGTGGAAGCCGCAGGGTGACTAACTGGTGCCGCCTTATCTTTCCACTATAGCCAGCTGTTTGTTACCGTATGTTGTTGACAAGGTGTAGTCGCCTTGACCCTGAATGTTGTTTAGGGCATTAAGGGTTTTCTATAAGTCCTCCTTCTCTCCCTCCTATTATTCTTCGTTCCGTAGGCCACCATGGTTGTCCGGCAGCGCGGTTTCATTTCAAATGACTGATGTACTGCTGTTGATGATGACGATGTGACAAGCTAGAATAGGCAGTTGTGTGTACAAGGCACGCAAGTAATTAATGGTGTCCATTTGAACTGGGAATGAAAATGCTCGTCTCCTCCATCAAAAGGCCTCCGTTAGTTAACGATCTGTAGCCCATACGCTTCACAGGTAATCTCACTGACACCGGGACTCCTTCGGCCCTTTGCCCAAATGAGTTGGGTGGGCTTGCATGTGATACCAGATGTGGCAGCGGCCTCCAGTTCCGAAGCGCGTTAAGTCCACTTGTCTTTGCTTGAGTTACCGACATACTGAGCGGCGCACTTCCTTATGGTCTGACCGCGTTGGTATTTTTTGCGGCGACCAAACAGACGCAGGGAGCTAGTGGCAATTCAAGCCTTTAAAGAGCGGCCTTCATCATCACCAAGATGATGCTCACCAGATAACAGGCGACTGATTCGTACGTTAAAACCCCCCAGCAAGGATAACGTCACATTTACAAGGTCTATTCAAGTGCTGATGAAGTAGAGATCTGTTTTAGTATGCACCACGCTTAGCCTTTGGCTGAATACCTCAACCGCGAGGCAGCGGCGTGGAGTCGGGTACGGCTCCCATGGGAAACCTGTGATTGATTTCATAGTTCTTGTGCCTTTCGTTTGGTGAGTTACGAAACAACGTGTAACGCTCCACATAAGTAAAACAATGGGCAATGACTTTATTTAATGGCGGGTCACATCCACCACGTCTCAGAGTTATACACATGCATGTGTGGCTTTTTTAGCGTGAACGCTTATGAGACCAAAATTCACTGCTTCCTGGAACACTACCTTCGAACAACTCCGGAGTGGAATAATTTTCAGACTTCCAGCTGGCATCACTCGGAAGTAGTTAGTTATTCCAATTGTGTATCGTTTCGATTTTGATATTTGGTAAAATCTTTAAACTTGACCACCATATTTCATCCCTTAGGGTGCAAACTATGCTAGGATATGCTAAATCGAAGTGATGAGATACTTTCGGTCATAAAAGCGGATCTGGTCGATTTGAAAGCACTGAAGGCTCTTTGTTTACTTGGTTGTCCAGACTTTCCTGGAATTCGTTCCAAGTGTTGGAAGGTAGTTATTTGGTTTTGTCGTATCATTGCTCAAGTTTCTCTTGGGTTACCTGCCTACAAGCTCAGAAAGTCGCGAAGAAAAGCTTAAGTTTCACCGAGAACAGTATGCATTATACGTTAAGGATTTTGTGGTAGAATCCGGTTCTTCGGAATTTTCAGACCATGTATGTGTGTACTTTTTTGCTTATCTATTTATCAGCCTCTTGACAGCAACCCAGATGGGAAATGGACATCTTTCTTTCTTGACAACGAAGTTCTGCTGCAAATAAATAAAGATTGCCGGCGTCTGTATCCGGATTTTGATTTTTTTCACCGTATCACTGACCATCCTAGCAATGAATTGTTTGGTGAACCTGTGGGCATTCTGCGAAGGCGCATCGAAACCTCTTCTTTGCAAGTATTCGTTCAAAAACCCATTATTACGAGCTACATATCCGCTTTGTTCTTAGGTGCGAGCTGTGCAGCACAACTTGTCGGGATTTATCGGCGCAATCCATCCTTGTACCTACGAGCGTGTTCACCAGAGAGCTTTGCCTTCTGATTTGGACCAGCACCGGTCCACATCTAATGCTGGTAATCGTGCATTAATGAATTGTTTATCTATTCAAGATTGCGAGGAACGGCACTGGGAGGTGATCGAGCGCATTTTATATGTGTATTATAAGACACACGTCACCCAAGGCTATGTCCAAGGAATGAACGAAGTGATTGCTCCGATCTACTACCTGTTTGCCACCGACCCGGACCGCTCGTGGAGGCGTACGTTTCTTTACTTAGACTTACTTTTCCATGGTAATTCCAAACTTGTCTTTAACCAACCTTGAACCACATAGATTGTTACAACGGGTTGATTACCTAGATCCCTTCGGCCGCCTGGTTTGCAACTTTCTGGTCCTCGGTACTTAGCGTCATCGTACAACCGCTCCGTTGATTTTCTACCACTGTGCACACTAAATTGCGGCAATGTCAGCCCATTTAGTTTTTTAATCTAGTACTCCACTATTGGATTTCGCTCTACTAAGAATTCCTAGCGCTTAAGTTAATTGAACGTGGCTCCTTCACCTGTTTACAATGCATTTTATTGTTGTGTCTTATCTTACTACGGTAACAGGCAGCCAAATTAGTGTGGTAAAACTGAGTGATGCACCGCTCAGTGTGGTGGTTGCATGGTTAAACATGACCGTTACGCATTCTTGAACGTTAAACAGGAAGTGTGACCACGAGCCCCAAGCATGGAAACGATTGCGGGTGCGCCACTGATTCCCATACATCATCATCATCATCAACAGCAGTACATCAGCCATTTGAACTGATGCTTCGCTGCCGTACAACCATGATGACCGTATTGTGTTAGAGATGGCGGACTAATCAGCTACCAGTCATTTTTATTCTTCAGTATCTCCTAAGGAACTCGTTTGAACGGGGGCGTTGTCGCTATTCAGCGACCCCAACTTATACTCGAAATTATCACATGAATAGGGGAAACGTGCATACCAGTTATGCACAGAACGTTAACTGGGCCGTAGCCCGTTTCATACTAGATGGAGCCGCTCTTAACACTTTCGCGGAAAGTGCGCAACGGTTAGCGGTCCCCTGAAGCCAGTAATTTGGGTGGCTGTAGGTACCTTGTCAATATTCGCATCAGGAGCGGCCAGGCCAGGGATATCAACTGACAAGGCCCATGAAAATGCTACAACATACACTCACAAGTAAATTTACAGACAAACATCAGTGACTGTGCAACACGTGTCCTATCTGCCTCATTAGTGGTCTGGGCTAGTAAATAAAACTGGAATCAGTGAACTTACCATGCGTTGACATTTATTCATACAACTTACCCTTCACTTCTCCGATATTGTGCGCTCGTAGTCACGTTGATGATCGGCTAGACTGACACACGATCGCATGTGCTACAGCATCAGCTGTATAGTGCCTACGGACTAGACTTCCTCTGAAACTGACGCATGCGTTACCAGCAATTTGTCTGGATGCAACAGTCCTTTCTTCATGTTAATGGGCAATAGCATTCTTCTTTATGTACTCGCTCCATTGGCAGTGATCCACTGCCACTTCTCAGCACTTAAAGTCAACATTAATTCCTGTTGGACTAACCTTGTTAGTGTCGGCCGGTGGCCCAGCGGTCTGCACGCCTGGCTTGTAATCATAAGGTCAGCGGTTCGAATCCGCGTAGGGTCGTGCGTCCTCTCGGTGTACTCAGCCCACACGCGACGTGCTGGTCACGCGGCAGCGAAATGCCGTTACGGCGTACATGTGACGATTTATTTTTTATTATACCTTGATACAGCAGTTTCGGTTCGCTCACGTTCCGCTTACATGCAGTGAGTTCGGTATTCTGATCACATCCATATGGCGGATATGTCCGGGCCACCTCAGGTGTTGGAGTGACACCATGCAATCTGTTCCGTACATGCCACTCCTGCGAAACACTTCAGCGTCCGGTACTGTCACACCGGCGGACTCGCAGAATCTGACGCGGACATTGCTATTGAAACCGTTCCAGTTACCGAATTTCATTGCTGTACAGTGTCCATGTTCCGTTGTCGTGCTAAAAAACCGACATCACCATTGACTTTGACACCAACAGCTTAGTTACAACTCAGCTGATAATTCCTCCACATTAGGTGCTCCAGCAGGCCCAAGGGCCCATATGCTTTTGATACACGTGTTCGCATTTTGCTGCTCTGTTGACAGCGTGCTGTAGAAGTGAGAAGAATTCACTGAGTTTTCGGAAACTTTGTCCTTAATCTTGATTTGTCGGATGCGACGGATCCCACACCTGATGATGAATGAAGAAGACAAGCAGTTTTCAGTCAGGTAGAGACAGTGCTTTACTCAGAACACTGAGCAACTGTGGAAAAGTGTAGTCTCCACAGCTTTTAGTTCATTTCATGACGCAGGCATATCGAATTATTGTGATCAGTTAACTAGTTACCTAAACTGCTTCGACATCTGCTGTCCAATTGTATCAGTTTTCATTCGTGTCCATAGGTTCTCGTCACAATGCGTCAGACGATTGCCCAGGCTCAAAGAAAGGTGTTTAAATGCAAAGACTATACCACGGTGAAGTGTCTGTCGACCGACTTAAAATTCGGACCACGTCGCCTCAACCATGTATGCGTTCATACCATATAGGGACCATCGCAATGAGGCTGGACCTTACCGTGGTGCGATGGTTTGCGTGCCTCAGAGATCCATTGAGCTATGCTGGGTGGTGCTTTGTTTTGCACCTTTAGAGCCACTCATACCAGATTGGTCAATGGTTAGAGGCCAGACAAACTCAGCCTCCTGGTCCTCCAGGTTGGGGGTTGGAATGGGGGTGGCTCCTCATTTCATAAAACGGGCTCTATAGTCCAGTGCCAAAACCCGCTGCCTTGCGGTAAGCTTTTTGAACCAAAGGCTTTAGTTGAGAACCCTACTCGTTCTCCTGTCTAGGCCTGGGCAACCTGACAGTATTCTGCCCACGCAATACAATGAACCTTTCCTACAACAATTTCTTGATGCTCTGGCCGTCGCAGAGGATAATAAACGGCGCCCTATCTGCTGCATCGAGCAGGGTGGATAGGGGTTTGGATGCTACTGCTCAGGCCTTCCCGTCTTCTTATACCCCTTCTTGCGCTTCTGCATCCTTATTGTCCCGCTCCAACTTTACTTATATCCCCCCCATTTTCAATCCCCCAATTCTTGGCCCTCCCCCAGCTTACTTCAATAGTCGCTTGTCTTCTAATTTCAAATCACACACAATCGCAGGGCCTCGCTCCAATCCAGTCGATAAGTCCATGTTCAACCAAGCGGACAACGTCAGTTCATCCGTTTCCCTTTGGAGTCCTCGTGTCTCCCTAAGATTGGCATGCCTCAACGTGCGCACTTTGCTGCAGATTGGCCAACAGGCAGCACTTGCCCGCACACTAGAGACCCTATCGATCGATATTTGCTGTTTATCAGAAACCCGCCTGCAAGATTCGAGCTCCGTGCTTACCCTGAGATCCCCCACATGCGACACTGGCGGCACATTCTCATTGCGCCTATCTGGCGATGATGCAGCTTCAAATGCCGGTCAAGCCGGCGTCGGCATTGTTTTGAGTCCCCGGGCTGAAGCTGCCCTGCTTGATTGGATCCCAGTAAACAGTAGGATGTGCGCCGTTAGATTAGCTGGTTCGTTCCGTGCTTCGAAGTCGCGCGGGGACAAACGGTGCCTGTTTGTCATTGCGGCCTACGCCCCTACAAACTGTAGCACTGATTCGGTAAAAGATGATTTCTACCAGCAACTTCACGAGCTCCTTCGTTACAGAAGAAGCACGGATACTGTGATGCTGGCTGGCGATCTAAACGCCCAAGTCGGAAAATTGTCCTCTGATGAGCTTCATCTGGGCGGCCAACATGGTCTAGGCTCCCGTAATGATAATGGTGAGCGATTGCTCCAGCTGTGTGAAGATGCTCGCCTGTTTCTCGCGAGCACTAATTTTCGACACAGCACCCGCAGAAGTGTGACTTGGCGGCCACCAGCCTCGGGCCAGTCATGGACGCAAATCGATCATATCGCGATCAGTTACCGCTGGAGAGGCTGTGTCCAAAACTGTCGCTCGATTTGGAGCACGAGCGTGGACTCTGACCACGCACTTGTCTGCACCGACTTCCGGGTGCGTTTCGGTGGACTTCCGCAACGTCGATGTGAACGGATTGACACTAGCCAGCTGGCGAAGCCAGATGTTCTGAATGTGTACCAAGATGCGCTGACATCTGGGCTGAGTAAGCGCCCACTAAACACCGTTGAAGATCACTGGTCGCACACTCGTCAAGCGTTGCTATTAGCAGGCATGACTTCATGTGGCAAAACAAATTGCAAAACCGAACATTGGGTCTCTACACAGTCTCTGGAACTTATGGATGCTCGCCGACGTATTCCGGATGGAAGCGAATAAAATGAATCTCGCAAAAATCTCAGGGCGAAACTACGTGCTAGCCTAAAGAAGGACCGCGAAACCTGGTGGTCTCATCGTGCATCTGAGATGGAAACAGCCGCTGCCATTGGTAATCATCGTAAGTTATACCGTCTGATACGGGCAACAGGCAGCAGGAGACCTGGTGTTAGCGAGACCATACGCGACGAGAGTGGGCAGCCGATCCACAGCCTGTCAAAACGCTTGGAGCGTTGGGCTGAACACTTTGCTATGCAATTTAACCAACCTGAGTTATCACTTTCTTCGGGCATTGAACGCCCTTCTCCTTGGGCCGTCTCCCTGGATCCGCCCTCACGCGCTGAAGTCGAACGTGAGATCAGGCTGTTGAAATTGCATAAGGCCGCAGGGGCAGATACTATTCCTCCAGCCCTCTTCAAGTTCGGTGGACCTGCTCTAATAGGTGATCTACACGAGTTGCTAGTAAAACTTTGGGAGCAGGAGACAGTCCCGACAGACTGGAACCGCTCCGTCATTGTCCCAATTTTCAAGGGAGGCTCCCGTTTGGTATGTGGTAATCATAGAGGGATCA